ACCGTTCTGGTGCGGCTAATTAGAACGTTGATACTTTATCACGTTACCCTGTACAATCAGAAGTCGTAGCGTCGCTCCAGACAAAGACGCTGAATGACGCTCTCCAGTTATCTAATAATGCTAAAGACCGGCTGACGGATATTAACATCTGGGATAGCTGCAATGTACTTGATAATATAAAAGAAGCGCAAAGGGACGATAAGAATTTGCGACTTCTGATTCATTACCTGCATGATGGAATATTACCATCGAATGACAATATTTCGAAGAAACTGCGTGGAATCGCAAAATACTATAAAGTAATTGTTGGTAGACTTTATCGCCTACGACGTTTTGACGAAGAGCAATCAAACCGTTTCAATTATAGTCAAAATTTGTTAGTAATACCAAAATCAAAAATTATGGATTTACTACATTTTGCTCACGATCACGCAGTTTCAGGGCACTTCGGCAGGCGGAAAACTCTACATCGTTTAACTTCTCACGTTTATTGGCAAGGAATGCGAAAGGATGTAGGGAATTATGTCCATGCATGTGATGTATGCCAGCGTTTTAAAGCTAATACTCAAAAGCTTGCTGATAAGATGATCTCCAATGTGGTACACGAGCCGTGGTATACTATTGGTATTGATATCACTGGTCCGTTACCTTCAACAAAAACGGGCAATACCCCCATTTTAGTGGTCGTCGACTACTTTACAAAATGGGTGGAATTATTCCCATTGCAAAACACGCGTTCTACTCATATTGCACAAATACTTCTCGATGAAGCCATTTGTCGTTTTGGATGCCCAGTAAAGATCTTCTCAGATAACGGTTCGCAATTTATTTCGGAAGTATTCGAAGAAACTCTTCGTATTCTCCAAATAAATCATCGCCGAACTGCCTTATATCACCCGCAAACAAATCTATCAGAGCGAGTGAATAATACACTCAAAACCATGATAAGAGGTTACGCTCAAAGTGATCAACGTGCCTGGGATGTAAAACTTCCTCAATTGGCTTTCGCTCTAAGGACGGTGATAAACGATAGCACTGGAGAATCTCCTGACTTCTTGATGTTCGGTCGCGAACCTCGTTTACCGATAGATGTACTATTTGGTTCAATAAATCCATCTGACGATCATCCAACCAATGATCGAGATGTTCGGTTCTATCGTGATCGACTTACAGCTAACCTTTTACCAGCGTTTAATTTTGTACGAGAGCATCTCGAAATTGCACAACAAAATCAGCGTTCATCCTACGATAGACATCGTAGAGATGTGCATTTTGAGTTGTGCGATCTTTTGATGATGGCTACCACAGTAGGTAGTGCACTCGGTAAATGGAAAGCACCTAAGTTGGATCCTCGATGGGTTGAACCATTTAAGATTACGAAAAAGATTACTCCCCTAAATTATCAGTTAACTTCCTTAGCTGATAATTGGATGGTGGAAGTAGTACATGTTGAGCGCTTAAGACCATATTACTCTCCATTTCAAATTCCTTCTTTATAAGTCGAGATTAAGAAGTAAAACACAAAAAAAATAAAACAACAAGAAAAAAAATTGCGTTCATTATACCCGATAGATTACAAGTTAGCGGAATAGATGAAACGAATTATATTTTGATGAGAAAAGGTGAAGAGTGTGTTCAATTTTATGTGAGAAAAAAAGTTCAGAATTCTAAAATTCTAGGAATAGAAGCACTGTTTGAACTTTACATTTTGTAATCGTAATCGCGCAGCCCTCAATGTAATGTGGACGAGAAAGATAATATTCTATAGAAATAATTTCCTATTGGTGATTCCTTTCCAGTCAAGGGATAAGTGAATTAGAATGATGAACGCTACTTGTTTTATATATAGCATCCTAGGCTATCCCGTTCTTCCATGTCGAGAACGACTCTATAAGTTCTAGGTTCGTACTAACATTAACAGGCACAAACCTTTTCTCTTGGTATATTTATGTATATTGGTTCCTAGGTTCTCGCGTTCTTGCATATCTTGAACGACTCGAAAAGTTTTAGAGTAGTACTAACATTAAGATACAAGAACCTTTTCTCTCAGTATATTTTATATATAGGTTCTTACGTTCGTGGGTTCTTGCATGTCGAGAACGAATCTAAAAGTTTTAGGTTCGTACTAACCTTATAGGTTCGTAGTAACACTAAGATACAAGAACCTTTTCTGTCAGTATACACACCAACTGAAAGGAAAAGCCTTAAATGACGTAAAATATAAATTAAAGATCTTTGCATAAAACTATTACAAACTTATCAATTAGGAGTCAGGTTATTAGCTCTTTTCTATCTTTTTCGTTTTCTTCTTCTTTTGATGCATTATCAATTAGTGATCAGATTATTAGCTTTTTCTTGTTCCGTCTCTATCTGTACTCTATTAATTAACACTCTTACTATATATAGGGAGATTGTATTTCACTTTCCTGTTTTTCCGGATGCTGATAAGTGTCTCTTATCGAACGCTTGAAGAAACCATAAATTGATTTTTGTAGCAGTGTTATACTCAATAATTTCTAAATATATTTCTACTGCTCCACCTTCAAATTATTTCCTAAACGTTTTAGGTTCGTACTAACATTAACCTACAAGAACCTTTTCTGTCAGTATATTTTATATATAGGTTCCTAGGTTCTGGGGTTCTTGAATGTCAAGAGCGACTCTAAAAGTTTTAGGTTCGTACTAACACTAAGATACTAGAAGCTTTTCTCTTAGTATATTTTATACACGAGCTGATCTACATGAAAAACATCCACGTGGCAAGGGAAATTGCCGTTGCCAGTAGTTTGCGGATTTCGCGGTCGACCTCTTGACTTTAGTGGCATCTAAATAATAAAATGCATCACGGATATGTGGCAGCACTTACCTGATAAATGTTTCAACGTTTTGCAGATAAATTATTATCTACATCAAATGTTTTGGTTTTCTGTTTAGGAATAAAACACGATTGAACTGGATTAAACTTAGTTATTTCAGTTAGCACATTTATCAGTTATTTTAATTGTAAAGTAAGTGTTTAAATGAATCATTGAACTTTTCAAGTTAGACACGTGATATAAGTTAATTAGTGTAGTAATCATCGATACGAAAAATTCCTCAAAAAGTCAAGGAAACGTTTCTCAAATTGAACGGAAGTGAGAGAGAGAGAGAGAGATGTTAGTTAACCTCCGAAATCTATCATGATAAGGGTGTGGATATTAAACAGCCAATACTGTGAAGAGCATTCGTGTGGCAGCGTTTAGATTTCTCATTCCTTTCTACTATCGACGCCACGTATAACTTCAAAACGATAAAAGATAAAGACTTGCAATTTTCAACAATCGAAAGAAGACAGTTTAGCCTATGTTTTCGTAAGCGAAACCCTTTTGCACAGCCGTTTGGAAGACCGGTTTTCTAGGATATATTTGGAAAACCACTTCGGTTCTCTGGAAAATGAGATAGAAATCTTTCAGTTTCCTTTTATAGATAGATAGTCCAAAGTGTCCAAAATGGGAACTAAGCTAACCCTTAATTTTTCCTAGTTCACGCGTGGCATCGGATTTCCTGAGAGCCCCAGGATCAGTATTTCTTTAGGTGTGATAATTCCGAAAGTAAATGCAAACATAGGTAATCGACCACGTTGAATATCGTGGCAATATTTGTTTTCAAAACAGTTCCAAAAAGCTGTACATAAATGAAAATCAATATACATTAGCTACTGATGAATGCTATTTGATAACTGCTAGAATTTATCGGATCAATTGATGAAAGAAGTGTAAATGCGTATAATAAATCTTCAAATTCATATGGATCACTAATATCATGAAATAATGCTGTAAGATCTTCTATGGATGTTGTTCTTGTCTTAACACTCATTTTCATATAATTCGATATATAAGACCAAGAATTAAATGACATTTTGACATTAGTGTGGACAAAGTGTCTAAAGACGAACTGACGAATCGCAATTTTTGGGCGTAAAAATGATGCAACAATTCGCATTTTACCATTGTTTTGCGAATTCGCAGCGAATTCGTAATTCAATGCAAACTGATGCGAACTAACAAAAATGATCAAAAACGAACCAAAAAATTGCCTCTTTTCTTCCTTTTGCCAATTCGTAAATTACGACGAATTCGTAAGAAAGAGATTTCCGGTACCTACGAATTCGTAAATCGAATTCGTCGACCATCGACGAATTCATGAAATGATCACTTTGGTCCCCAAGAATTCGTAAATTGGCAAAAATACGATAAAATGCGAATTTACGAATTCTATTTAAGAATTCATAGATGCTAAAGCGTAACCGACGAATTCATAAATAGAATTCGTAAAATATGAATTGATGTCAGGGACAAGACACTTTTCTCTTAGGTTAAAAATAGATAGATTCGTCTCTTCTCATCGATTCGCATACTTCTCACCTCACTTCGCCGTTACTTTTACGAATTCGTAGAATACGAATTGATCAGTTGAATGAATTC